TTTATCTAAAGGATTGTGCCATTCACAACCACCAGTTCACACACCTGGTTCAGTGAGAAACTCAAAGATATACTGCCACCTTATGACAGGACATGAGAGGACATGCACGACAACCAAGGTTACACTGGTAGAGGAAACTCTCCTGTTAATTACAGAGACCCAACCAACCAAGTTTCTTCATCTTATTCAGTGTATTTAAAATAATTAAATCACAAATTTTCTAGTACTTTATGAAATATAAGTCTTGAGTATTTTAGAATAGAATAGAATAGAATTCAACTTTATTGTCATTGCACATGCACAGGTACAGGGGAACGAAATGCAGTTTGCATCCATCCAGAAGTGCTTTAGTGATATAGATATATTACAATATATATTAGCAATAATATAGATATGTAAGTATATTACAGAAATGGGTCTATTATGGTATGTTATAATGTACACGGTATGAAGTATGTTGTGACTATTCTATAAGTATGTACAGGCTGTTTAATGGTTAAACATCTAAAACTTAAATAATATATCATAAGATATTTTGTTTTTTCTTATTTAAGCTGTTGTATTCATAGTCAGCAGCCAATAATAATCCTCTACAGATGTATTTGCAATTGGAGATTGGCCTCTATTACAGGAAGTGGCAGCTCAAATGTTGCATTGTTTTTTTTTATAAGGAACCTTCTGTTATAATATCTGATCTTTGTGAGACCAACATTGGTTTTAATGGCTGATTCCAGGTGTGAGAGGCTGTAATAAAAAGATTAAGAGCACATATTTGATAGGTTTTTGTATTGAGGTGCAGTGATGTGAAGCACTGTGGTAACTAGCAGCACAGAAGTACACTCCACTGCTGCTCACTTTGAGATCCGTGATTGTTAATGTGCAGTTCTCTTCTTTTTCTGCACCCCCATCTATAATGACATTCACGCCAGTCTCTGGAGTACCTGTGCCAAAACGCAGGTGTCCGAGCAATTGTAGGGTTTCCTCTGACTGCTTGTACCAGAGAATTGTGTTATAGCTTTGAATACTGTGTGAGCAGTAAATTTTAGCTTCTTCTCCTGTTGTGTAAATATTAGCTGGAGTCTGGTCGACTTTATCACTTGAAGAGGAAACTGTTGAACAGACACCAAACAAAAGTAAGAACCAATATATAAGTACAAATGAAACATTACATAAAAAAAATTGTGGCATACAGTCATAATAGTAGCAGTGTATAATATGCTCATCAAATATATTTAACACGTTCATGACATTACCTGTAACTAGATTACATTTAAAATAAATGCAGAGGAGTAGAATAATCATGATGCCTTGCTATCACAGATGTTCTTAGTTGTGTCGATTACGTCTAACTTCTCTTATGTCAAATCATCACTCGGGGGTGGAGTCCTATTATATCCTGAGGTTTATTTTTATCTAAAGGATTGTGCCATTCACAACCACCAGTTCACACACCTGGTTCAGTGAGAAACTCTATGATATACTGCCACCTTATGACAGGACATGTGCCATCACCAAGGTTACCAAACTCTCCTGTTAATTAGAGAGACCCAACCAACCAAGTTACTTCATCTTAGTCAATGTATTTAAAATTATTAAATCACTAATTTTCTACTACTTTAAGAAATATAAGACTTGTGTATTTAAATGGTTAAACATGTAAAACTTAGCTAATGTATCTTAAAACTATTTTTTGTTTTTTAAGCTGTTTTATTCATAGTCAACAGCCAATAATAATCCTCTACAGATATATTTGCCATTTGAGATTGGCCTTTATTACAGGAAGTGGCAGCTCAAATGTTGCATAGTTGTTTATAAGGAACCTTCTGTTATAATATCTGATCTTTATGAGACCAACATTGGTTATAATCGCTGATTCCAGGTGTGAGGCTGTATTAAAAAGATTAAGAACACGTTTGATAGGTTTTTGTATTGAGGTGCAGTGATGTGCAGCACTGTGGTAATAAGCAGCACAGAAGTACACTCCACTGCTGCTCAGTTCGACTTCCTTAATTGTTAATGTGCAATTCTCTTTTTCATTTGCACCCCCATCCATCGTCACGTTAACTCCAGGCTCTATAGTACCTTTACCTAAAAAATAAAAGTCCGAGCAGTTGTAGCTGTGTTTTTGACTGCTTGTACCAGAGGATTCGGTTATAGTTTGTAATGCTGTGTGAGCAGTAGATTTTAGCATCCTCTCCTTTTGTGTAAATATTAGCTGGAGTCTGGTCGACTTTATCACTGAAAGAGGAACCTGTTGAACAGACCAACATCAAAAGTAAGAAACAATGTATAGGAGTTAACCTAAAATTGTATGTTTAAAAATGCAACTTATATACTGTTATAATAATAGTACTGTGCAATCAAGTCCTAAACCATTAAGCACATTTATGGTATTTACCTGAAACTAGAATATAGTTTAAATGGACGCTCAGGAGCAGAAAAATCATGATGCCTTGTTTTCAGTTCTGCTTGGGATTTCCAACCTTTCTGAGTAAACTAGCTTTTGAGTGAAACTCCATTCTGTGGGTGGAGCCCACTGTCATGGTGTCAGCCTGATGTAGTATTAAGATCCATGAACGATATACTGCCACACCATAAGGGAAAATGTTATAGGTTTGATACTAATCATTGGAATATTGAATTTTTGGGAGCAGATACACACACACACACACACACACACACACACACACACACACGCACACACACTGGCACACACACACACACACACTGTTATGTTCCCCTAAAAAGGTCCA